GAGAAGGTTAAATGTTTATTCTGACTCACTGAGACAATTATAACAAGGTAAGACCATTTTGTACAAGAGAAACGTGCCCAAAGTAAAACATTAAAGATGTGTGGGTTCATACCGAAATATCCGTTCCCTTCGATATTGAATGTTTTATTTTGAGAATTGATTCTACCGTTAACGTATCGTTTTTTCTTTAACCTGGTAATTTAAATGTTATGATATTATAGGGAGCAGGACGTAAACTTCTACCGGGCCAGGTGGCTCACGAAGGAGGAGAAAGGGAAGAATTTCAGGGTCCCCGACACTAGTGACTAGGGCAGAATTCCCCAGCTCCGGTTCTGGAGCGCCAGGATATTAACTATTTAGTGACCGTGTGTGATAACATTTTCCTAGTCCAGGGTTCTCCAGTTCCGGTCCCAGAGAGCCAGTTTGCAACACAGTTTTTTTAAGTTTTGCTGCTCTAACATCTTTATCAGCTAATTGCTAGTAGATGTGTCTGAGCATTAAGAGTTCCCTTCACTGGAACTAAGGTGCCTCTAGTCTAACTCCTGAAAAACACCCCCACACCATTATCCCTCCTCCACCAAACTTTACAGTTGGCACAAAGCAGTCAGGCAGGTAACGTTCTCCTGGCATCCGCCAAACCCAGAGTCGTCCATCAGACTGTCAGAGAGAGAAGCGTGATTCGTCACTCCACAGGACACATTTCCACTGCTCCGTTCCATCCGATGCTTGGCACTGCGATTGGTGATGTGAGGCTTGCATGCAGCTGCTCGGCCATGGAAGCCCATTCCATGAAGCTCCAAGCATACAATTTTGTGCTGGGGTTAATGCCGGAGGGAGTTTGGAACTGCCTAAACAAGGAACAGTTAAGAACGAACACCAAACAATAAATACTGGTGTAAAAATGAATAAAGAATAAAATAACATGAATACAAGAATTAAGATGAAAATAGCATAAAAACTGTACACACAGTGCACAACAATGACACAGTGCAAATAATACGTCGTACTTTCACCAGATTTGTTAATGTCAGCATACTTTACACAATCAGTTTAATAATCATCTCACGAATCCCAAAGTACCGAAGGCCTGTCTGGTTTAGCTTGACAGATCTCCAATGCGGACAGGTTGATAAGCTTAGCATTTGCATTAAGAATTAGGCCTAGTCATTTGGCATTTGGTTGGGTTTTCCAAGATAAGCATATAGCAAGAAATGGGAGGCCAGCCCTGTGTTTATGCCTGAAACGTTTACTGGTACTAATCAGGAATGGTCTGATTGGGTGGCTCAGTTTGAAGTGGCCACCGAAGTGAATGGGTGGGGTGATACTTTAAAAATGAAACTTTTGTCACTCCTCTTGCCAGGGCGTGCAAGGGAGTTGTACTCCGGGCTGCTTTTGGCTGCTCGCAGTAATTATTCAAGTTTAAATGAGGCAATAGGCAGGTGTTTGGAACCATGTGATAGTGATGACTGGAACAGAGCCAACTTTTTGTCCCGTAGACGATTACCAGACGAATCGGCTCGGGATTTTGGTATGGCATTGCGCCGGCTTATTTATAAAGCCTATCCTTCTGCCGATAATGTTACGTGCGATACTGTATGTTTGCTCGAGATCACTTTGTAGAACATGTGGGGAGTGGCGATTTGAGAATATATCTTCGCGGTCGGAAGCCTAATACATTAGAAGAAGCCATTAATATAGCTGCCGAGTTGGAATTAATAAAGAGTCCGGAAATGTCTCAGAGAGTCAGATTAGCTATGACGCCCGGGTGCGTGCGGTTACGGAAAAATCACCTAAGGATCAACAGATGGAGCTCTTGTTGGGGGTGGTGGAGGGTTTAAGGCAAGAGGTTAGAACTCTGCAGCAGACGGTGGCATCTTTGCAGTCCCCTATCGTGACTGAGATGAGCAGGGGGAATGGCAGTGAGGAAAGGAGGCGTGGTCAGCAGGGTAGACCTGAACGGGTAGCAGTAGGAAATGCGAGAGATGCGTGTTGGGAGTGTGAATGCACTAGGCACTTGCGTCGTAACTGTCCCTATGTGCAGGGAAACTAGAGGGGGCGGGCACAGTGGGCCAAATGCCCACCCCTTTCTGCAGACTGGCCAGACTGGCTCACAATTCTCCTGATAGCTCCGGTATCTACCTTAATGCAAAAATAGGTTGGTGTTAGTAGATACGCGGGCGCAAGCCTCTATCATCCCCAAACACTAAACAGAGGTGGTTAGTTTACAAAGGGGATGGGGGAGTTAACAGCGTATCAGGGTGTAGCATCAGCAGCAAATGGGGGTGATATGCAGGTGGTTGGGAGGTGGCAAACCATTTGTCAATTTGGATCTTTGGCCTTGGTTGTGGATTTCTTAGTGGCTAATGTGTCTACCGAAATTTTGTTGGGGATTGATTTCCTGTCAAAATATGGGGCTGTGATTGATCTTGCTAATAAATGTTGTAGTTTGATGGGGAAGGAATTGCCTCTAATTTCATCATCTGAGGCTAATGAACCAAAATTAGTTACTGTACAGGCAGATACTGTAGTAGGGCCACGCACTGTAGGCGTATGATGTCATTCTATTCATTTAATACCCACAGAGGTTTTCTTAAAATATTACTACTTCCAGTGGCAAACCATTTTCTAAACAAGATCCGACGTACGTGATGCGTAGTTTTCCCTACCAAAAAGCGACCTTCGACTTAAAAGCGACGATCCGACGTTTAACCGAGCAACGCTTTTCAACACCGCGCGACGATCCGACGTTTTCGCGAATAAAACGCGATGCTTCGTAATGGAACGCGATCTAATTGCGACCATCCGCCGTTTTTGCGACGTATTGCCTACGTACTTGTGCTGACAGGGGAAGGCAAAACTGCTTTAGACGACCATGCTAAAACAAACAAACAAAACACCAGAAAAATGTCCAAATCACCAAACAAATCGAGGCATTTTCATCATTTATGATCAGAAAAGACTCAGAGTAGGACAAAATTGCTGTTGCCGAATTAACAACTACTTATCACGGTGTGCAACACGCCGTGAAATGCACCCCCTGTCGGGAGCGCGCAGCGCTCTTTTCTTCGATTCGAAGGGGGAAAAGACGTAGTTCCGTCAGTCTAATTATGCAACAGAAATATTAAATTGTGTTTGCACGTTTAGAAGACCTTTATCACTGTTTCACTTCACGAAGGCTGCATTTAACCCATATTAAAGTGATAAACTGTGACATGTAGACGATGAGCCCCGAACGAGAACGTAGGGGGGGGGGGGGGGGGTGGTTTTAGATTTTGTTGTGTTGATTTACCAAAGCCGGTGGCGTAGTGGCACTCCTGGATGTGTGTTTGTGTTCCCCCACAGTCAGAGCCTCCGCCCCGCCCGGGTGCTATACGGGGAATCCAGATCCAGCAGTGGTCCCTGTTTTTTTTTTTTTTTTTACTGTTTTTTGCATGGTTAATAGCTTGTCCACCTATATGGTGTAATGTGTTGTAATAAACGTCCCTTGTTGTTTCTTTTGTAAATCATGTTTCTGCATTAATTACTGGTAGAACCATTGGGTGGGGGGTACACGTGTGGTTATATCCTTGGGTGAGAGGCCCAAGGTGGCGTAGTTGGGGTAGTTGTGTTCTTCGCCAAAGTAGTCGTATTAACGGCAGGTTAAGAGTTGTTTCGTATTTAAGAAACTGGTTCAGTAACTGTACCCTGTACACCCCCCACCCCGTATCTCTGTGTCTAGTGATTATATCACAAAATGCTTTAGGCAGTACACTCTGTGTGGCAAAGTGTACTATCTGCGCAAATTTCAAACTAGTAAACTGATGATGAGACAAATAAATAATGTTCTCGTTCAGGGCTCATCGTCTATACATGTCACAGTTTGTCACTTTAATATGGGTTAAATGCAGCCTTCGTGAAGTGAAACAGTAATAAAGGTCTTCTAAATGTGCAAACGCAATTTAATATTTCTGTTGCATAATTAGATTGACGGAACTACGTCTTTTCCCCCTTCGAATCGAAGAAAAGAGCGGTGCGCGCTCCCGAGAGGGGGTGCATTTCACGGCAGGGGTGCAGAATTCGGCACAACACGTGTACGAGCTGAGTGCGAAAATATTCAGCGACTCTAATATTGCAACTAAGATGTTCTGTGGCAGACCTAAGAGCGAGACATTGGTTGGTAATATATTGGCATCGTTTAGTCAAGAAAGATTAGCAACGGAGTTTCAGAAAGCGCAGTACTTTGAAGTATGTCCTGATGCGCCCAATTTTGGCCGCATATAGGCTAATTGTACCCATACACAGTCCAGTATATCTTCCGTGTGAAGTATGGATTACTAGATTTTTATTATGGCCCCGACGAATCTATCAAAGCCATATACAAACAGGTGTCCATCGCTGAAAACAACGGACTTCCAGTCAAGCAGATTCGTGCCTATGGTACAGATAACGCATCAGTTAATTATGGTCAGCACAACTTGGTTTTTCCAAAACGCAAAGATATTAACCCACATATGATGAAGGCCAATTGCAAGTGTCACATCATAAATAACACTGTGAAAACAGCTAACCATATCCTTAGTTATGGAGGGTGTGATGTAGAAGCCTTTGTGCTTAAGATATAGAACTTAAGGAGTTCTGTGAATTAACTTTACAAAATACAGGGAGATTTTGGGGCATGTCTACACACTGGCTGTCTTTGCTGTGTCAGCTATACAGACGAGTTTAGAGTTATTTTGTATCCTATGGCAAAGAGGACTGCCTGAGTATTATCTGGAAATGGCAAGTATAAATGGAAGATTTGGTAAGATAATAAGACCTATAATAGGTATAATAATAAATAATATTTATTACTGTCTGAATTAACATAAATTTATATGTCCTAATAATCGGTTAAGCTTTACATAATGTTTATATAATGTTTAATAGCTATTTGCGGTAGTGTTACCAGGGTAATTTCAGCATATAACTGAGGCATGCTAAGTAAATAATAATTGTTCTATAAATGGCTACAGATTAGGTCTAAGTAAATGCAACTCTGGCATTCCCCTGCTTACTACTTTAGCCAAGAGGGAGCAAAAGCCATGCAGCACAAGTAAAACATAGACCAGTATCTATAGCAATCAGCTATTCAGGTGTTTCTTCTCATGAATATACCGAAAGCTGTTGAAAATATTTAGGGTTATGCACAACCCTAATTCACAAAATACAAAGCCTTCTCTAATTCTGTTATGTCAGACGAAAGGATGTTTGCTTGTTGACACGTAGTCCGTCCCTTTTCGCAAAGACAGCGTCCATATTTATTGTCAAAGGCGGCAACCATATTCCACAAGTCATTTCAGCCCCCCGACCCCAGTGTAGTGACTGTTTATGGCCAGATGCCTGGTTTGAGTTGTGTACAGTATGTGTCCACGGTGTATCCCAACTGAAAACGGAGGTTTAATTAAACACAAAACACGTAGCCTATTCTTTGTTTTACATTAGCATTTGTCAGTCTTCACTAAGGGTGTCAAAATGTGGAATCTGTTATCAGAGTCTTGACAGTTCAGTGAATTTGCTAGCTACTGTTGCAAGATATATTGCGACATATTACGGGGACAGATCATTTGTCAGCTAATTATTAACTTCTCCAGGACACAAGCACTTGTGGAATGCCGCAGCTTGCAGAAAGTTTGCACTGAGTATCCTCCCATTATCCACCTCCCTCCAAACTGACACGGGGGTATTTCACCGTGACCGATCACTCTCCGGAGGAAGATGCATTGCCACGGCAGCTTGGTTACTGTCTACTGCTGCGTCCTGATCGCGGGGGGCATCGGGTTCAGCCTCAGGCAGGTCCGCAGGCAGACCCCCTATGGCCGCTATGCGACGCAGGTGGCGTCGCGGCGCTGGGTGCCGGCCAAACCCGCCTGGTTTGTCCAGGAGCTGCCATCCTTCCTGGTGCCCGTGCTGCTGTTTTGGGGCACAATGCCGAAGCTGGGGTTGGGAGAAACTCTGCTGTTCTGCCTCTTCTGTGGCCACTACTTCCAGAGGTAAAAGCGATCAAACGATTATAAATATAATAAGGACTTCGTCCTTTGGACCCTTAATTATCAAATTAATCATTTTCATCATCTTTCTAACAATCAGAAACTGCACCGTATGTATTAAAAACGGAACTTTACGTTTATTTTGAAACTTACTTTACGCCTTTTACGACCAAACCGGGGCTGTAAGTCTGTATGAATGCGAATACTAAAGAACACAGCATTACCCCTGAGCCACGATGGTTTTGTTTGTAGATTGTAGGCCTACATGGAAATGTAACTTAAACGCCGTATGCATTGTTACATAAAACTCGACTTTAATAAAGAAGTAAATTAAGTGATCTTTTCATCGGGCAGGCAATTCGGAGTAGCGCCAACTATTTCCTTAATAGCACATTCATTTTATAGTGGGAGTTGATTGCAAAAAAGAATAATGGTTCCACTAAAGTCCGTGACAGATTCAGGATCTGCGACGGACATGAAAGGTTTAGGGCTACTGATTATAGTATTCTTAAAAGAATGACATGATTTAATCGGCTGATATATGTGGTGTGGAGTAATGAACTTCTACTATGTTCTTCAGGACGTTCGTGTTCTCTCTGCTGACGAAGGGCCGTTCCTCCCCCCTGCGGATTGTACTGTCCTCCCTGACCTTCTGCTCCGTCAACGGATTCGTCCAGAGCCACTACCTGCTGCACTGTGCCGCCTACGGCGACGCCTGGCTCGCAGACTGGCGGCTGGTGCTCGGTGAGCAGCTCTGGCTCTTACCCACCACACTGATCTCCGAGGCTTGTTTCTTCAGCGTTACTGACATAATTGCCTTAATTTCATTTTAGGTTGCATAAAAAACATGGTTAGTCCGTCAAACACGTGACTCCTAGAAAGCCTATAACTTTAATTTCTTTGATTCACAATAACAAATGAATGTTTTCCTTCTGTGCTTGTGTTTAGGACTTATCGTGTTTTTTATCGGAATGGGGATAAATGTCCACAGTGACTACATATTGAGAAACTTGAGGAAACCTGGAGAACTCCACTATTCAATTCCCAAAGGTCAATAGCATGTTTTCACATATTCGTATAAAGCTGAGTGCTTGATTTATTCTTATGAATGAAAATTCTGTATGCTTGCCCTCTCATTGGTTATATGTGTTACATTAACTATAATAGGATGCTGGTCACCTTTCATTTAGGTGGCATGTTTGAATACGTCTCGGGTGCAAACTTCCTGGGGGAGATAATCGAGTGGTTCGGCTTTGCCGTAGCGGCCTGGTCCATGCCTGCCCTTTCCTTTGCGGTCTTCACGCTGTGCTCCATCGGACCCCGCGCTTACCATCATCACCGGTAACCGCCGCGCCCCCGCATTCCCCAACCACGGCACGTTGACATGCATTAATAACGATTTTTTAAATGTTATTTTCAATGTTGTTATTTCTTTGTTTTTTCGTTTGTTTGTTTTTTCTGTTTCAGATTTTACCTGAAGATTTTTTCAGATTACCCACAATCAAGAAAAGCAGTAATACCATTCCTATTTTGAGAGACCCGGTCATCGACCATCATACTTGGGAAAACTAACAAATTACAGCCATACTAAACTTTCCAAAATGCCTAGGAGTATCCTGAAAAGAATCATCTCTCTATGATGCCGTTAACCTCCTGGATTCATGCATTCCGAGCAAACCAGCGCTGCATTAATAGTTTTGGTCTGACGGCAGTTAGCCAGTCTGATCGAAGGACCGCTGTTAAGATCTGCACGAAACCCCAATCTGCACACTGGGATTGATCTGGATGCATGAGTTTGTAGCCTATCTGTAGGTGTAGTCTATCTCGCAGACAGTAAAGATGGTGAAGTTAAATGTGCAGTTAAATGAAGGTACTCTTTGTCTTTTTCATGATTTCATCAAAGGGTACATACACTATAGATAAATGATAGATGTTTGTTCACCTACCTGCATGTCATTGGAGAGGAAATGCACACAACACAGGTCTGCCCCCCCCCCCCATAGGTCTGACGCCACCCTGCTATCCCCACAAGGCTTGCAGCAACTCATTTTGCAAGGCCTGTGGTTCAACTGGCATAGCAGACACTATGTTGTCCATTGGCTAACTTTTAACTTACTATTTTGACAGAGGTTAAGGGTACAACTTATGATGTTGGTATCATTTTAGACTTGTTGCAATACAAGTAACACTAATTAAATTTTAAAAGCGGCACCCTGCCAACTCATTAGAAAGGCAAATAAGATAAATGTTCAAGTGATTTAAGAATAATAATTACAGAGTAATTTCTCAGGGAATAGCACTGTAGCCTCACGCCTGCAGAACTGCAGGTATGATTCCCAGCCCTTGCTGTGTGTGTGTGTGCAATTTGCATATTCTCTCAGGTACTCTGGTTTGTCTCAACGCAGTCTAATACAGCGTGTGTTTAGGTGAAGCAGTGTTTCCAAATTGCCTGTTATGTGTGTGTTTGTATCTAAGAATGACTGACATCCAGTCCAAGCGTCTCATGCCCTGTCCTTCCTGAATTAAGCTTCACACTTATTTCCACCCAGTACTGGATTAGTCGCTATGGAGATAGATAACACAAATTACTTGACATTGCCAAGTCATGAGAGGCAGTTTTTTGAGCCAGGTGTTAGAGCAGGGGTGGGCAATCTTATCCAGAAAGGGCCGGTGTGTATGCAGGATTTTGCTACAGCTCCCTAATTAGATTATTGATTTGAGGACTGATTGACTGAAGAGTCCTCACACCTACATAAGAACATAACTATACAAACGAGAGGAGGCCATTCGGCCCATCGAGCTCGCTTGGGGAGAACTTAACTAATAGCTCAGAGTTGTTAAAAT